GTATCATTATGTGATAAAGGGAAAGGGCCTGTTGTATGTTATAATTTAGGATCACAACAAGTCTAAGTCCAGCATTGGTTGTGTTAATAAAGGAATATGAGAATCATTTGAAGATTCTACCATAGAATCCTGAAAGGGTCTTGTATTTCTTCAATAAACCAACTTAGCTTCATCTTAATTATAGAAACGAAGTTCTTTGTCGAATATTCAAAGAAATTCAAAATATAATTAAATTTTATTAATTATATTGTTATTAGAATAGTCCTGTATAAGATACTCGTAATTGAATTAAAATATCAAGTTATCGTATAAATTAGGATATAAAATTAACTTTTCTATAATAAAACCTTAATTTTCTCTTTGTAATTGACTTCTCATAACAACAATTTAATAAAATAATCGATAATATATTATAATTTATTTAGAATAAACATAAAATAATTAATTATTCTAAATAATTGTTTAAAATACAGAGCGAAAGGACATCAGTAGAGCACTTTGACCGAATCTGAACACAAAAGCCCAAAATTTAATCTTTTATCTTAAAAAATGGTATAAAAATGGTTTAAAAACATTCTTTTTTATTTGCTTAATTCATTATATTCATATACTTTTATGGTTTTTAAAGAGGATGAGCTCTTTTGTGTTACTTTCTGGGCCTCACCTCATGTCACTCAGGCTCACAAGAGAACAATATTAAGCAATCATTTTCATTCAGTTGTTTGAATTTTGTACATTAGTAATTATCAAACAATTAGACTCCATTTACAATCTTTTTTAAATCGATTTTATCTAATGAAAACAATAAATTTTTTTTGTTTCTTCGCCAAATCTGAAATGTACCTGTACCTGTAAGAACGTCCACCTGTAAAAAGCGGCCGTTTTTTCAGGAACATTTCTTTTTTGAAATCCATACAAAATAAATTCCCAAACAGCGGACACTTTTTATGTTCTCGTCAGTTACCGTTGTTCAGAGGTTTGTGATATTCTACTTTAGTTTCAATTTTAGTCCTTTATTTACAGTTAAGTATTTATTATATGAATTAATCTCTAATTGTTAATTTATTGTAAGATTAAAATATATTATTCTGACAAAATACGTTAAAAATAAATTTATTTATGCGTGTAAGATAGATAGAGAATGAAAATATTCTGATAGTTTTCTGAAAAATCTGAGTCTTTTATTGAGAATTTTAAGTAAAAATCTACATTTATTTACAATTCACATTATAAACAGGGCCAGTTAAACAATTCTGAGGCCTCCTGACAATTTCCTTACAGGTATTACGCGGATGCAGATACAGAATAAAAGTATTGTGATCACTCTACAAATCTTTGGAAAGAAAGGTTATAGATAACTTTAACAATACAAAATATATGATTTAATTTAAAAATTTCAATTGTAAAATAATAACAGAGCACATATTAGGTGTCATTGAAGCCTAATTTAATTAAACTAATGCAACATACATTCAAACAACGAAACTTCAGGATCGGATTTGCACGCTAAACAAGCTGCAACTTAGGGCCCGCGTTATGAGTCTATAGATTAGGGCCTCACATTTTTAAACGTATCATTATGTGATAAAGGGAAAGGGCCTGTTGTATGTTATAATTTAGGATCACAACAAGTCTAAGTCCAGCATTGGTTGTGTTAATAAAGGAATATGAGAATCATTTGAAGATTCTACCATAGAATCCTGAAAGGGTCTTGTATTTCTTCAATAAACCAACTTAGCTTCATCTTAATTATAGAAACGAAGTTCTTTGTCGAATATTCAAAGAAATTCAAAATATAATTAAATTTTATTAATTATATTGTTATTAGAATAGTCCTGTATAAGATACTCGTAATTGAATTAAAATATCAAGTTATCGTATAAATTAGGATATAAAATTAACTTTTCTATAATAAAACCTTAATTTTCTCTTTGTAATTGACTTCTCATAACAACAATTTAATAAAATAATCGATAATATATTATAATTTATTTAGAATAAACATAAAATAATTAATTATTCTAAATAATTGTTTAAAATACAGAGCGAAAGGACATCAGTAGAGCACTTTGACCGAATCTGAACACAAAAGCCCAAAATTTAATCTTTTATCTTAAAAAATGGTATAAAAATGGTTTAAAAACATTCTTTTTTATTTGCTTAATTCATTATATTCATATACTTTTATGGTTTTTAAAGAGGATGAGCTCTTTTGTGTTACTTTCTGGGCCTCACCTCATGTCACTCAGGCTCACAAGAGAACAATATTAAGCAATCATTTTCATTCAGTTGTTTGAATTTTGTACATTAGTAATTATCAAACAATTAGACTCCATTTACAATCTTTTTTAAATCGATTTTATCTAATGAAAACAATAAATTTTTTTTGTTTCTTCGCCAAATCTGAAATGTACCTGTACCTGTAAGAACGTCCACCTGTAAAAAGCGGCCGTTTTTTCAGGAACATTTCTTTTTTGAAATCCATACAAAATAAATTCCCAAACAGCGGACACTTTTTATGTTCTCGTCAGTTACCGTTGTTCAGAGGTTTGTGATATTCTACTTTAGTTTCAATTTTAGTCCTTTATTTACAGTTAAGTATTTATTATATGAATTAATCTCTAATTGTTAATTTATTGTAAGATTAAAATATATTATTCTGACAAAATACGTTAAAAATAAATTTATTTATGCGTGTAAGATAGATAGAGAATGAAAATATTCTGATAGTTTTCTGAAAAATCTGAGTCTTTTATTGAGAATTTTAAGTAAAAATCTACATTTATTTACAATTCACATTATAAACAGGGCCAGTTAAACAATTCTGAGGCCTCCTGACAATTTCCTTACAGGTATTACGCGGATGCAGATACAGAATAAAANATATAAATTAATCTTACTTCTTTCTAAATTAATTTTGTATCTAAATTTTATTTATTTAAATACATGTAAGCCCTCATAAATTATATTCTCGACTTCTTTATTGCATGTTTTATATAAATATATGCTTTTGGGTACATTTTTTAAATCAGATTCTAAATGCAGTAAATAAATTAAGAAGTTTACATTTCCACAATGGCTAAATGACTAACCATTCTTAATGGTTACTCATTTAGCCATTGTGAAAATAGTCATTTAGTCTTGGTTAAGTTATAACTAGAGCTAGGACATCTAGACACTAAAATCACATAACTCATAACTTCATTAAAATCATATAAACATCACTAAAATCATATAACTTATATGATTTTAGTGCCTAATGTCCTAGTTATAACCTAAGCTATAACCTTTCACGTATATAAAGGCAAACACATGATTTTCTATGCCTTGTTTGACAAAAGTATTATGTTTTAGTTAAAATTTATCACGAATTACAAAAATAACAACAAAATGTTGTACCAGCTTTAACTTTAGGCCAATTCAGATAACTTCAGAAACCAATTCAAGCTACATTTTGATGGGTGATTTCTAACAAGTTTACATTAGGCTTACTCTACATTAAATTCCTACGTATACGTTAAGACTTAGTAGCATTCATACATTAATTAATTAATACTTTAAAGAGGAAAAAGATCCAAAATACTTTGCAGTTAAGTATATTCCCCGCGTGACGAAAAATTAAATATTTGGAATTTTCTACTTTATCTTGGCGAGGAACACTTTGTCGGTGGTCCTTACTGACAATTATCGAATGTCAGATGATAAGTGATATACTTACACGTATTTCCCTCTAATCCCTGGACACGGTTTCTAACAAGACCAATGTACAGACGTTCGGTATGCGTCTGTTTGTCGTCTCAACCGGATATTCAGTTTTGTGATTTTTAACTGGCTTAACTTATGATGCACTTCAGCTTTAAATCATAAACAACGTAATCTTAAGCTTAAGTTGGCTTTATATAATTATGTTGCTAAATGTCAATTATAATCGTTACTCAAACAGAGGAAAGAATTATTACACTTACAGGACGTTACGGGCGAGTGGAAAAACAAGAAGAAATGACAATAAATAATAACACTAGATATTTTACAATCTGTACATCTGTAAATGAATGTTTTGTATTTATTTTAATGAAGGAATATTTTTAAATTTAATTGAACTTATACAGATTTAAGCGGTAAACAATGTTAATAAATTTATTTTAAAAAAATAATAATCACGAACGTAATGAAGTTACGTAAACAGTAAATGAAGTCGCGGTGACTTTAATCGCTTTTGGATTTTTTTTAGTTGAGTAACAGAAACTTCCGACAGTCCCTTTTTAAGTACAACCGCCCAACACGAACAAACTAACACAGTCCAGAAGACTTAAAAATGAATGAAACTGCCATTCTGGGGGTGTCATTGCCTCCTTAATTATCCTGCCTGTTATCTCTGTCGGCCGGCTTTATAGGGGACTGACCCTGGTCCCGAGACAATTTTGGTTGTACCCCTGACAACCTCCATCCCTGACATCTGAACCCAGGGGTAGCCCGACACCCTGGCGACGTCCACCACATGCTACTCTTTCCCCCATCCCACTCCACGATATAGCAAAGACTCTCTCTACTCATTTGTTAATGAATTGTCACACACATCTTCCCCCCAAATCTAGATTCGTAGAAATCACGTGGCTTGATAGGGTTTTAATGGTTTAGATTTTAAATAGGGGCGAGGCCGTTCCGAGAAATTTATAAACCTCAAGAGATTATCAGAGTATTAATTATCGGTGTATCCGATAGATAGTTGTCGTAAATAGCTTGAATTTTTTTTTTTTAATCCTCGCTCTACCCCTGTATATTAGTAAAATTCAGCTCGGTTGCCATGATTGGGTTTTGTGGGAAGGAGATCTCGAAACGGACATCTGTGTTTAAAACGATATAAAAGTTAACATTAGCCGAAAAGGGCATTTGAAATTGTACCCTTGGGCATACGACACGAGTCGCTACACTAAGCTACTTCAGCTCACTCGAAGTGTACCACAACATCTGGGAACGCGTATGATTGGTTCAGAACAGCAAGGGTGCATCCTACAGCTCGAACGTATAACGAGTCAACGAGGCACAATAATCATTTTGACAACATGGACTATGACGTGATGAGTGTATCTACAAGAGAATTATGCAGAGGTATCATTTACGAAGATAGGACTAACAATTATAACAATTGTAGCCAAAATAATAAAGGTTTCATGGTTAGTCGTTTACTTAATTTAGAAGATATATCGGCCAATAATAACTGCGAATATAAAATATCAAATTCTGAAGGACACAGTCCACAGGGACAGAGTTCTGATGGACAACGCAGCGAAGGTAAGTTTTCATAATTATTATTTAATATATATTAAATTTGTTAAACGTATCCTATTCTATTCTTTTTCTTTTTGAAATCTACATCTGTTGAAACACAAGTAGGGATCGAGTTAGTGTTGTCGGTTGGGGAAAAGTACAAGCTGAGTGAGACGATCTGAAAATACTATAAATCACCTCCTTCAACATCCACAACACAGGATAGAGTAAATAATGTTAAAACAAGTGGAACAGTTCTATTTTTCGTTTATTTTTTTCTATTTTTATTCCCTCAACAATATGTTTATCATACATTTACTAAGTTTACTTTTCTACCATAACAAATCCGAACATGAATTTTCATGTCTTAATGGTAAATGTACAAAGCTTTAAGTACTGAACTCTACTTTTGAGGGCTAACTACTGGTAATTTTCTTATTTTATACACAAAGGGCCATAATCCTACACTCTAAAGCCTGTATGTGAAACGAATTTCAATATTTTAATTATACTTTACACAAATACCAAGACCTTTAGAATATAAGCTGATAGACCACTTTTTATTTTTATTATTTCAATCGTCAAAAATAAATTGAAGAATGAAGAATAAGTAAATTGTGATTCCGAATTAAATAATTACAAAATTAAGATTGCAATCTTTCATTTTTATGTGACAGACCCAATCTTTAGATTAATGCCCGTGTCTAGAAGTGGTGTTTGATTTGGGACATACTATACACACATACGTGATTTTTAAAATGTAAAATACAAGGTAGAATTGTTTAAATTTATATTTTCATCTAGATTTAATTGAGTTTCATTCTTACAATGATTACCATGCCGTTTTCAACTTTGAACTCTGTACCGTTCCTTTTATGAGGTCACATAGAGGTCTATAATAGATTAATAGATTATAAAAAATTGTTAAAGTTGTAAACCAATTTATTTTCTTTGAAGGGTGTTTGTAATCTTAGATTTTCTTCCATTTCTACCTACAGAATGATACGAATATTATTGCAGCTGATAAATTCGAGTGAGATTTTTATATTTGTATCCAATAATACACCAATAATTTTGATATTTTAGACTTTTTCTCATATTTAATTAATATAGAAAATGATATTAATCATAAAATTCAGCTGATTTCTTTATGAATCAAGGAGCAAAGTCTTAGTTTTAAGATCAATTAATTTCTTGGAAAGTGTATTTAAATATCAAAATTCTAAATTGTGATCACTTAATTGAAAAGTTTATCCATAAAAATATAAAAATTTTTAAAGCAAAATCAAGATTTTTGACTCATTATTAATCGTCAAAAATGCCAAATTTTGAAGTTTTAAGGCATAAAAATTGAAAAATAAATAAAATAAATAAATTAACCATCAGTTCGGTTAAGTTTTAAATTACATCTTGTACATTTTCTCATATTAGATAACGTATAATATTGAACATAAATTGCATTTCTTTTTATTTGTGTCCATTGTAATTACGATCCAACCGCTGTCGAGTCGCAATGATTAAGTTTAAATGAAGTTCTCCCAATGGCCAATTATGATTTCTCGGAGGCAGTAACTTGATATTAGTATTTTCGCACCGGAAATTCTCACCTCTATATTTAGGCCTCATACACTTATAGGATCTAATGTAACAGGCGCTAATGTTCGTCGAAATTCCAATAGTTAGGATTTATTTTCGTCCCATTGTCAATCAAAAACGAGAGCGAAAATTCAGAAAAAATCGCATTCTCCTTTATATATATATAAAAAAATATATATATTTTTTAAAGTACCACAAGAGGGATAAGTTTTCTTAATTATACTTTATATAAAATTAAGGATAAATTATTAATATTTCAATGACTCCTTTCATTGTATAGATAAGAATTTCTTATCATTTTGAACCGAAGTTAAGTCTATTTCGTTGGTGATGAGAACCATCTGGGCCTATGCCACGTGTTGTCGTCACGGCTTTTTAACTTTTCCTAACAACCAGAATCTAAAAATTCTTGGATTTTGTAAAATATTCCAAATATAATAACTTTTATAATTTCAATTAGATTTAATTCCTAAGCGTATTAATATAAATTAATGGATAAAACTACTTGTTAAATAGTTTATTAATTGTGTTGTAAGCATCACTTTATGTGATTTATGACACTTTCAACAAAGATACGATACAGTCGATTGCTTTTACATTCTCTGAGCGCAATCGACTGTATCCTACTGTTATTGAAGTTCTAAAGATAACTGAGGTTGATGTTTGGCAACAAGAATTATCTCTACAAAACAGTTTATTTTAGAAAATTTTATGTATTTATTTATTTGTTTAACTCTTTCGATACTCTAAGTAAATTATATATTATTATATTTGTCAATTCAAATTAATAATCAGATTTTATATTATTAATCAATAACCTTATTTATTTTTGTAGTATATTTAAACTTTTTAGCAATTTAAATATATATATTCTTCTAAGAATAAAACAAAATGGAACTTGTCAAACGAAGTGACGACCGCCCGGTGATTTGACAACAAAAGACCCATTAAAAATGCATTCATTTTAAGTGTAGACTGAAGAATCGGTTGCCCCGGTAAACAATTACAACTGTAGAATCGTTAAGAATTGTTTAAACAATAAAATCTAAAACGAGATTCTGTTATATATACTCTATAGATAATCTGTGTTCTTTTCTGCATCCTATTTGTTATAGACTGCATTCTATATTCTATATTCAGTGGCATGTTATGCCCAGGTGAATTTGAATTAGGGGGCTCCATGTACAGTACAGTGTTGACTTTAAATATTTTTCTTCGGGGGAATGTTGTGGGGAAATATTTTCTTATAAAAGATTGATTTGGCAGCCCTATTGGCGAGAGCTCAGGAAAAAGAGCAATTGCCTGGGGAAGGTCCAGTTGGCGGGCCCCCCCCAGACAATTGCTCTTTTTGCCCATAGGATAACACGCCACTGATATTATTTTCTCTATTCTATATATTCTATATTCTGTATTCTAATATATACTCTATATTCGTAAATCCTACACGCCATATTCTATAGATTATTCTAAGTTAATATATTCATTCATTTATTCTAGTTTTAGGGGAATTATTGCTAAATTTTTAAAATACTTGTAATGTAAAGTATCGAAATAAATAGAAAACGGGTACAATAAGGTTAATTTTATATAATCTTATATTAGTTATTAACAGCTCGTAAATTTGTAGGTAATTTCATCTAATAAAATTAATTACGAAAACGACAACACTAGTTTAGCTAATTTAGTTCAAGACATCATCAAATGTGTTTAATTATCATTAAGTACTACGTAGGAATTACCGTTAAATAATGAACATCATTAACTATACAATTAGATTTATTCATTTAATAATTATCTGATTAGCTTAGCAATGATTAAGTTAATAATATTGTTACTGTTAAATAATGGCATTAAACTCAATTAAGATAATTAAATAATCAATATATTATTTTCAGGCCCTAATCATTTTAAACAAGCATTTAAGTCTAGTAGATTACAAGTATTTATTCTATTTGTACAGTACAGATATAACTTAAAAAGGATATACAAATAAAACAGAGTTGATAAAATGTATTATTTGTACAGATATAATCTAAAAGATAATATCTGTACAAACAAAGTTCAAATAATAGGCCAAATGCAGTATTTGTACTTTAGTCTAATTTTATAGACTAATGATCACAGACATATATTCCCTTTGTAAAGGATATTGCAAAATACTGTACAATACATATAAAAAATGCAATTATTTTATAAAATTACTTATAAAAATATAAATTATATAATATATTTTTTGATAAATATAAATTCTTATATTGATATTTAGTCTTATTATTTCGTTTGATCTGTCTGCTGGTTAAACGCTCTGGAAGATAAATAATTAAAAATTTGAAAGAAATTTTTCTATTATTTTATTAAGAGATAAATATAAACGAATTTAAGTTAAGAAAATTTGTATTTCAGATCGTTATTTTAAAGCAAGAAAGATAAAAATGTTAATCGCAAATGTACAGTACAGAGTTGAACTAGACTTGTTGTGACCTTAAGTTGTAATATAAAACAGACCCTTCTCGTCCACCAAATACTGAAATGTGTGAAAATGTAAGGCCCTAAGCCTGTAGACTCAACACGAGGTCCTAAGGTAGAGGTTATTTAGATTATGTGTAAAACCAACCATGAAAATGTATAGCTCTTAAACCTTTAGGTTCATGTCCAAGACAAAATTCCTCTATAATAATCAAATTGTTTGTAAGTTTATCAAAAATGATAAATTTTTAAATTAATTAATTCACAAAAATTTCTTTTTCCATTTGTAAACAATTTAAGAATTTATTAAGTTATCAAAAGAAAGAGATAAAGGATTAGTAGGCCCAAGGCCGGATTTACACATAGTTTTTGTGTAAATTCAGTACAGCTTAGGGCTTCATTCTTATTATTTATAGCTTGATGTTTTTTTAAATTAAACTTTTCTTAAGAAGGTTCTTTAAACTTTTCACTGTTTTAGTGAATGATGAAGGGTCTCATATGTTACAGTTAGTGATCCATATTTTCCCCAAAGTATACCTTTAAACGGCCAACGAAATATTTAATATAATGAATTTATCTTAAAGAAAAAAAATTTAAACCTTAAAATAACATTTGATATTAATCTTTATAGATTTATTAAGATTTTGGAAATATAATCGACAAATCCGAAAAAATATACTTTGAAATTGATGATTCTCTGGTTTATAATTTAAATCCTAGCTTAAAAATCATAGATTATTTACTATAGGATTTATTAAGTGATAATTAGATTCAATAAGCTAAAAGATAACATAATTTACAAATTAAATTATGTATAAAGTAAATGAATAATCCAATTCATTAGCTTGTACAAGTGTTTAATTACTATTTAACCACCATATTTACAACAATTTGCATGCTTTTTAAAAATATTTTTAGTGGAGTTTATTCTTTGAATTATGTAAAACCACTCTGTAAACACC